TATATATATATATATATATATATATATACAAAATTTTATACTATTATTTTTATAAATTTAGTGTATATTTTAACTTCATTTTCTTAGTTTTTTTGTAGTCTATGAAAAAAATTTGTATTCTTGTACAAATAAATTGTTGTCTACTGAAGAAAACTGGCGGGAAATCTCTAAAACGATTCGCGATGTTGCGGTTTCATATCGAACAGAGTTTATGTCGAAAGATCCTTATCAGAACGAAATGTCTCGAAACAAGGACGAGAATTTCTATGAGCATTGTATCACTATTGTAACGCGTGTATTTAAAGAGCACGAGTGAATTAATAGGCTGTAAAGCCAGTTTCACGCGGATCATCATTGTCCTATAAACTGTGTTGTTATGTACCGCATTGTTTCGAGTGAAACCGCAATCGTACTTTGCTAACGTATTATGCTGGTTTCATATGTTTCATAAGTTTTGTAAATCATGATGATTATATCGATATCTAAAGAGAAAACGCGACATGAGATTGATGCTTTTAATGTGTGATTATGAATAGGAAGTTGACGAAAGTTAATAGCCGAATAAAACCCGATTACTAAATTAATCATTATAGCGAGTATCAATCAGAAAATATTGCTAAAAACATTGTCACAAGATATTTCGTACATCCCTAATGGAAAAATGTTGCTGAAATTATTCCACTTTTTGGAAACACTTTTCAACAAAATTTCAGCATTTTAAAAAAGTTTCAGTTTGATTTCAGCGATTTTTAGTTGAAAAATTCACTTTCAGCAAATTTTCAGCAATTTCGCTGAAATGTTTCAAAATATGGTATAATTTCAACGAAACTTTTTCACTAGGGATATGATTAGGTCGCCATTGCGAAAAAAATAAATGTTAAATAATGATTTATAAATAGAGTAGAACCGACGTGATAATTCATTCCAATACGCTGCGTGCCATGTGAAACTAGCTTAAAGGTTAGCCTTTTACTCAAACGTGGCCACTGCGATGGTCGAGAGATCCTAGCTAACGGTATCGTGAACGCATGAACTTGTTGACGTTGTACCACAGATGATGTTCAATCAGATTTCAGGATTCGAACTGGTTTACCGAATTACAAAAATTTTACGGATGAAATTCGAAACAAAAACAACGAGCGAGCAAATTATAGGAGAATGGAAACCTGCTCCTCCGTTTCACCGGACTCACCTCTAGAGGGAGGCAGGGGCTGGATGCGGCCATGTTCCTACATGCGTTCGAGCCTCTGCCCCGGTGGTGGCGATCCCCTCTTCTTCTACTGTGGCACCACTTTACAGAAATGGAAAAAAAAACAGAGGGTAGATATACAGACGAATTGGGGCAAACTGCACACTGCACACTCACGACAGCACCCCGGCGATCGACGTGCACAACCAACCCCCCTTCTTCGAAACACCGGCGAGGGGTGCGGGCGGGCAGGCGGAGAGGGGCGGGGGGGCGGAAACGGGGAGGGGAAAATAACACCAACGCAGCACCCCTTTTACTTTTTTGCTCTACGCTCCTCCTTTTTCGCCCGAATTATTTTTCTTGTATCACGACAATTAATAACACTCTTTCTCCGATAGAGGAGATCAGAAGAATGGAAGAATATGAGAGAGAGAAAGAAAGAGAAAGAGAGAGAAAGAAAGAATGAGTAGGTCAGTGGAAAAGAGAGGCAGGACAGTCAGAGCGAAGAGAGAGAAAGAAAGAGAGAGAGAGAGAGAGAGAGAGAGAGAGAAAGAGAGAGAAAGAGAGAGAGAGAAGAGAGAAGAGAGGGGGGATCCTCTCTCCCGAGCCCTGAAAACTCTCTTGGATTCCTCGGAGCGGGCACTACGACCACCGGCAGCGACGGCAACGGCCACTACCTTCCTTTTCTTCTTCCTCGTCTTCCACCTCCTCGTCCGCCGCCTCTCTTCTTCCGTTCCTTTTTCCTCGTCGTCGACGTCGTCTTTCCTCTCTTTCGAGCCTCCCTCCCCTCCTCCTCTCTCCCTGCGACGCACCAGAGCACACTCTCGGCTCCTCTCGCGACGACGGCGAGGAACGGCTAGTTGCTTCACCTCCTGTGCCACGTCCTCGTCCTCCTCCTCCCCGTTCTCTTCCTCCTCCTCCTCTTCCTCCTCTTCCTCCTCCTCCTCCTCCTCCTCCGCCTCCTCCCCGTCCACGTCCTTCTCGGCGGCGGGCGCTCCTCCTCGTCTTCTTCTTCCTCCTCTTCGTCGTCGTCGTCGTCAACCACCACTGTACCACCGTCGCATAACAAACACCCCGGCGGCCGTCACGGTCCCGATGGCACCAACGCAACGAAAGACAAAAACGAAAAAATAAAAAAATAGAGACAAGAGAGATAGGTGAGAGACAAATGGAGAGAGAGAAAAGGAGAGGAAATATCGAAATTCGCGAGATTGATTGAGGAAAGAACTAACAAACCCGACGCTTTCTTTCCTTTGTGAGCTCGTTCTCACGAGGACGCGTTTCCTTCCTTTCTACTGAGGCGCGGTACACCCCCGCGAGCGAGGGAGAGTCACCCTCCGCGAGTCAACTCCGCGCGCACTCGGCAAGCACTCGACGGGCGAGTACTGACCTGACCCGTGTTACGAGACAAGAACGAGAGTGGAACCGGGGGACCGTTTTCGTACCAGCACTATAACCACCAACCACTTCTTCTCTCTTCTGTCTTGTCTCTTCCACCTATTCAGCCGCTTCTCCTTTCGTCTTTTCTTCCTCCGTTACAGCTCCAGCAGCAGGTTCGAACCCGCTTCGTCTCCGATCCACGCAAACGTTCTACGTTCTACCACTTCGACTTCAACGGCACCTTCCCTATAACTACAACCCCTGTCCGCTTCACTCGGCCGGAAGTTCACACACTACCTACGTTCCTCGAGCGTCGGAGCTCGTGGCCACAGCGGGACGGTCGCTCGACTACGCTCCCTCGCTCTTCCACCACCACCCGACCGCCACTCTCGCATATACACACTCTCCTTTCTCTCTCTCTCTTTCTCTATCTTCCTCTCGACTGTCCTCTCGCCCCTCTTCTCACCCTCACCATCTCTAGCGTTTCCACTACTGCTATCTCCGTTCGCCCACCCTTTGCCTGTTCGCTCATCCTTGTCGCACTAACAACTTCTATCTTTCTCACCAATAACTTCGGCCCCCTTCTTCTTTCTGTCGTTATCTCTCTCGCAACTATCTCACTATCACCAGACTGTCTCCGTTACACTGACGTAGTCTCCTCCATTGAACAGAGTCTAGCTCTCACTCTCGCGCTAATAACATGACACGACAGTCATCTTTGTCACGTAGAATGTAGAGCTTTGCTCGTTCTTTCCAGGAATCGCCATCCCTCTCTTTCCAACAGCTTTCATCCCTCTCTGATATAGTTCTTTCTTTGTCTCTTACAAACGACACGACGGCTGATTCCTTCTTCGTCTGACCTTCCATTAGGTGTCTCTTTCTATTGGATAAGCTTGCACTCACTCGCACTACTCTAGCGAATCCCTCTCGGTTGCGCTTACGTATTAACCCCCATTCGGAGGGCGCCAGGACCGAATTTCTTTAAAGCGACACCCGGGGGTTACCTTCGATGGAAGGCATCTCAAAAGTTTTTATCATGTACTTCGACATAAGATGATTTTATTTAATTGTTCTTTTTTCGAATTTTTGGAGATAGAGCATATATTATTATTTTCAAATATATTAATCTGTTATATTGTATTAAATTAATTTGTGTTAAATTGTATTAAATTATATTCAAATGATAATTTGTACAAGTATTATTTAAGCCTACTGAATAACAATTGATAATGCATAGATTATTAATTATATTTCCAAATAACAATAAAATAATAATAAGTATACATCTTACTTATATATTTTAAATATTATTATTACATATCATCCAATTTATTAAATTGGAGCACAAAAGAATAATTTTTTGAAACAGTAATAATTAATTTATTAATGCAACGCTAATTAAGTTTAAAATTTATTGAGAATTAAATGTCACAATTTATTAATTAAAATTGTGTTATATAAAAAATTGATATACAATATAAAAGTTTTCGTATATTTCTGATCAGATATAAGCGGACAAGCGACACGGTATTATGTTGCATACAAATACTCTGAGAACGATTACGTATGTATCTAGAAACTATTTCTAATATACGTCAGCGGTTATGTGCGTTATGTCATTTGTCGTGACAGTTATGACGTTTATAAAATCGATAATAGATACATATTAGAAAGTTTGAATAATATTTTAGTCAATGTCTCATTATGAAGTACATATTACTAAATTTAAAAAAAAATTAATTCAACTCTAAAAGTAATTAAAATTATTGATATATAAATTGACTCAATTTTTCAATTTAAAAGTATTAATTTAATTCAATTTACAAGTATTATACTGTAAATAAAAAGTACATCATTTTGGATTACAAATAATTTTACAACATTTTGTCTTGATGATGAATGATGAATATTATTTAATGTTGATAAAACGTAATAAGAAAATAATCTCTTGTAAATCTCTGAAGTTTAATTTTATTTACATTTAAATATTATAAATATTATAAAGATGTATTATTTTCATTTATCTTAAACGAGAGTTGAAAAATAATAATCAAAAT